AAATAAGGGGAAAAGAAAAACGGTCGTACGCGCTGCAGTTCTCAACCGATCGACGCGAACGTCAGAATATTTAATACCGAGGTACGCTTGATGCTGTGCGTATATACCTAATATAATATWATATATTATTATTATGATTATTATATATTATAGGGGCACTCTATAGTTGCACACATCGTGATTTTTTTCACACACGCGCGCGCGTCGTGACTGATGATAACTATTCGCGGGAGGAAACAATAATATTATAATGTAATACAATAATGATACATGCACAGACACGACAGTGATAATGATTAAGATACGTGTAACCAGTGACTTAACTTGGAGAAACATTTTTTTTTTTTTTTCAGGGGGGTGGGAAATATTTGATGAGACATTTAGTGATGCGAGTCCCGTAAATTGACTGTGTAAAATTTTACTGGTTAGATAAATTTTTTTAACGTACTGAAAACTGCGTGATCACAAAATGTGTGTGTGTGTGTGTTTTATTTTATTTATTATCATATGATTAGGGTTATGATACAAATCGGTATAATGTAATACAAAACGAATATAAGTGATCAGTGATCACCGATAAATTATAAAAATTGTGATTGTTGAACACCCACTAGTCATTATAATGTATTTTTTTACTTTATATTAATTKTGATAATCAATCAAACTGTTAACAACGGTATAAAAATGTTGAAGCAGGCGTATAATATATTTATTACGTGTTGACACTTGAGATATGTATGGMTTATTCACAGTGGCGTATTTAAGGTTTTTCCGCCTCTAGGCACTTTCCAATTCGCCGCCTTCCTCCCACCACCATCCTTCCTACAATTATTTCTAAAACGTATTTAAATATACAATTTATTATATTATAATATTATATTAAAAAATATACATTGAGATATATGTAGATAAACTAGCATGATTAATTTTGAGCGAACAAAAATTAGTTAAGTTTGATTTCATCAAATGAAAAATACTTTTTCTAATTTTGTAAAAAAAAATTGTTGAAATTTGCCGCCCTCCAATGTTGCCGCTCTAGGCCCGGACCTATAGGGCCTGTGCCTAAATACGCCT